ATATATATATATATATATATATATATATAAATAACTATAAAAGTATAAATCGTAAATATTAAAAATATTTTTTCACAGTATATATAACATATAATAATATAATTAAGTCAAAAACTATTCAATATTAGACTCATTTCGAAGGAATTGACGAGACGATTATAATGGTGTAACTTGTTAAAATAAAAATGTATTTTTTAAACATRTTTTAATTCATATACGATTATGTATATTAATTTGATAAATGTTTAAAATGAAACATTTAAAAATAAAGGACGTAAAGTAAATTAATTAACTAATTATAGGGGTATAAGTGTAAATTTAAAATTATAATTTTAAAAATAATCGGTTGTGAAAGGGTGAGTGTATGTGAGGAGAGGAGGGGATGAAAAAATGAAAAAGTGAAAAAGTGATATAAAGGGTATCTTGGTCATTTAGTATTTTAAGACTTTAAGACTTTTGTTAAATTTGCTTTATAAGATAGTATAGATATATATATATATATATATATGTGTGTGTGTGTGTGTGTCTTATATTCATCATAAGCTTTTATTTTCTATTGCTTTATGTTGACTTGGGATCACATGAGATCAATTTGTTATTGTGAGACCCGTGAGACTACATTTTTATACTTGAAAATAAAAAGCTGAATTTTCACAACAAAAACACTGTGAAGATCGTTTTTTTTGTGAAGTTTCAAGTGTAAAAAAGTAGTCTCATGGGTCTTAGAAAACAGACTGGTCTCATGTGAACCCAACCCGATTTATGTTTTCTTATTTTAATTATACAGTAAATAATAATTATATAATATATGATTGCGTTTGATTTCAATCTGGGCATTTGGTCTAGTGGTATGATTCTCGCTTTGGGTGCGAGAGGTCCCGAGTTCGATTCTCGGAATGCCCCTTTTTTCTACTTTGCACCCCCATATTTGTTTTTCTTTTACAAAACTTCCCCCATTTTTTTTCGATTTACAAAATTTACCCCATGTTTAGTTTATTTTACAAAACTTCCCCCATTTTTTTCGATTTACAAAATTTACCCCATGTTTAGTTTATTTTACAAAACTTCCCCCATTTTTTTCGATTTACAAAATTTACCCCATGTTTAGTTTATTTTACAAAACTTCCCCCATTTTTTTCGATTTACAAAATTTACCCCATGTTTAGTTTATTTTACAAAACTTCCCCCACTTTTATTCTTTTACAAAACTTCCTCACCACTTCTAGTGTTTTTTTAAACTTGCCACACCTCTAGTTTAGGTTGTTATTATGAGTTCTTTTCAATTCTATTGTATCATCATGATGTTAAATTTACGGAGGACAAAAAAAAAGATCGAAGTTTTTTGTATCAAAATCTAATATAGATAACATAAGATATACATGTTTAAATGGAGTAATCATTGTGCATACTGGGGTGCTTATGGGTTGGGTTGATCAGGTTGAAGACATTTAAACAATCTAATCCAATAATTATGGTTTGAAAAATCTTAACCTAACTCAAAGTGCAACCCAATCCAACCCGTATGGGTTGGTCGGGTTGATATTTTTGTATATTAAAATATTTTTCTAACTTTGAATATGTTATTTTTTACCCATAAATTTTTTTCCATTATCAACCATTTGATACAACATATCCATACTTTTCTGAATTTACATATATATGTTCACAATTACTGAACATATATACGAATGAGTTACATAGAGATGTGCAGAGATTAAAATATGTGTATATGAAGAACGAACGTGATATTGTTATTGACTATTGTATATATTAATATAAATTCAACAATCATATTAAATCCAAAAAATAAATATGATATTTGGTTCATTAGGTTGGGTTGGGTTCAAATAATAATAACTCCATATCAACCAAATACCTACCGTTTGAAAGTTTTACATCTCGTTTAATCATCAGGTTGTTTTGGATTGAGTTATTTTGTGTTGGGTTGGGTTAATCGGGTTTTTGAGCACCCTTAGTGCATACAACATTAAAGTTTTTCATATTGGGATTTAATCTAATATTTTTGTTGTGAAGTATATGTATGATATTTATACATGACAAATGAACTCAACCAATTTTTTCAAATTTGGTAAAGTTTGAACCCTAGACTAACTGAGAGGACCTGCTCTACTGCTAATTAGATACCACTAGACCAAAGACCAGCTAATAGTATCACATTTCCTATAGATGTAAGATGATGTATTACAATTCATGTTACCGTTTCCATTTGATGACAAATAAGTCATTGCACTTATTGAGCGCGTGTGTGGCTCATGTTGAGGAATGAAAATGACAGAGAATGAATTTTCATTCCCCAAGTTTAACCAGGAATAAAATTTTAGGCTTATGGAGGAATATGTTCATTATCTTATAGAAAAACCAGTTAGTTTCTTTTATTTTAATTCTCATTGATTACTGCTTGATACCTCTAACCAAACACCTCCTGAAACAATACAATTGATTCTTTTAACATTTAAAACTGGTTATTATTATGAAAACATGTTAAAACTATAACAAACTTTCATATTTTAAGTCCTTTGACATTTTTTGAACGTATATAAAACTAGAAGGTTGTAAAATGTAAATAACTTAAATGTTGAGGGACTTTTATGTAATTAACCCAAAAACAAAATCAAACATCTCTATACATTTTATCTCAAAATCGACCAAACCTCTTCAATCCGTTTATCCTATCTTCATCGTCTCCCCTGTTATTCTCCGAGCTCTGCTCCAATGGCGGCATCCTCACCTCTCTCCACCATCACCCTCCGTTCGTCCTCTTGCCGTTCACCGTCCCCCGCCGCTCTCATTACACCTCCATCAGTAAGTTTTCCAAAACAGACTCTAGAATTCCCCCTCCGGACCACCAAATTCTGTCGCAGATCGACATTTCTCCATCCCGTCTCCGCTGTCTCCACCGAGGAGAAGGTCGTACAGCTAGGCGATGAAATCTCGAATCTAACTTTATCAGACGCACAAAAACTCGTGGAGTACCTACAAGAGAAGCTAGGAGTCACCGCCGCATCGTTTGCTCCCGCCGCCGTTGCCGTCGCACCTGGAGGAGCGGGAGCAGATGTGGCTGAAGTTGTGGTGGAGAAGACGGAGTTCGATGTTGTGATTGATGATGTTCCGAGTAATGCGAGAATTGCGACGATTAAGGCTGTTAGGGCTTTGACGAGTTTGGCGCTTAAGGAAGCGAAAGAGCTTATTGAAGGACTTCCGAAAAAATTCAAGGAAGGAGTATCGAAAGAAGAAGCTGAAGATGCGAAGAAACAGCTTGAAGAAGCAGGTGCCAAAGTTTCAATTGCTTAGTTTTCACGAATTTGTGGTACGATTTCTCCTCTCCTTTTTTTCGAATCTGCATAATGTAATTTGTTGTTAATTTCTTAGTTTTGATAATTGAAATTAATTTTCTCTTTGCAATTTGCATACATCGTTTTATGAATTGAAGGTCGACGTAATTTACTTCCACTAGATGCAAATTTCATCTCGAACTCCGTCAATTCTGTGTTTCCTTCTGTCAAATCTGATGATATTCATGTTTCTATGAACTTGTTCATTTGATGCTGTTGGAGGAATTTCCGGAATTTAGGGAAATAGAGGATGAAATAACTTGGATAAAACAGTCACATCTCGAATGATTTCACCTCCTTGCATTGTATTTCAACCCAACTTTGCCTTGGTATCACGGAATAACTCGAGGATTTCCAGTAACGAATTTTGGCACAACTCAGTTCAAATGGTGATTGATCTTAAATTAAAGCTGATAAGATCTTCCATAGAAAAGAAAATGATTGCTCCGAGTATTTAGTGGGTAATCACCATAATAGTATATACCAAAAATGCACATGGATAACAAGGCTTCTGATTATTCACTAGCTTAACAAGCTTAATGAGATTTACAGTTTATTTGGTTAGCTATACATGCTCAATGGCTTAATGATATAAAAAATGACTTATTCCAGTAAGCTTATAAGGGAGAGCTTTATGCATAAAGTCAAAAAAAAAAAAAAATTCAAATCTGCCCCTTCTATTAAAAAAATACGCTTCTTCCATCTATGAAAAAATCTTCTCAATCTATAAAGACAGATTTAAACACTTTTATCCATTAAGGTCTTAATAGAAAACCAACCAATACCACTTCAAAATCAAAGTCTTATGAAGAACACTCAGAGGCTTCTTGGATCTCGCAAGTGACCCTCTCCATATGACGCCATCCAACAATCTCGGGTTTTAGTTAGCTTACACTCTATACCTTCTAGCCAATGATATAGCTTAATTCCAACTCTATATTCTCTTGTAAATCCAATAAAATAAATTAAAATAAACATATGATTTTTCTAAATCACAAATAGATTCCAAGTAATAAGCTGATTAAAAATGGGCAATGCACCTTAAGAATCCCCATGGGTTTTTTCTTCTTATCAAACTGGGTTATGAAAATGGCTACATCTAGAAGCATAATTGTTTGTAGATAGAGTTCCTGTGTTGGTTTTACTTTTACACGAAATTCTTCATTCCAATTGTTTTTTCTTCTTATTTAACCAAAATTAATTCTTATTATTGACATTTAACTCGTATAAAAACAAAGTAAATATAATTTCGAATGTAATTTATAGTCTTCAAATACACATATATATAATATATTAAGTGATCCAATTTTGTGAAAATTTTAATTTCTAGATACTTATTGTACATGAATAAAAGTTGAGGGGGCAAAGTGTAATTTTAACAGTAAATGGGTCTCCAAACGACAATGAGTGAATGAGTACTGAATTTGAAATAAACTGATCACCGGCGCCTGTGTCGAAACCTGTACTTTCAATTTCAATTACTGTTGTCTTATTCCATAAGTTCTTTAAAAAATATTTAAAATAAAGAATTAAAATTTAAAATCTAATTTACATTCAGTTTTTGAATGATTTTCGTGTTGAAGGATACATTAAAATATTTTATTTAATTATTAAAAAATTATTATTTTTATAAATATTATTTTTAATATTAGTAGTTTCACTTGTTAATATTTTTTTGGGTTATGTTTAAAAACCCATCTCTTTATTATTTTCTCCATTTTGATTTTGGAAAGCTGGTGCATCTAAGTCTAAAATATTGGCTTAAAATCCTCTTTCTTTTATGTTTTGAAAAATTTGTTGAAGATGCTATCGGATCATCACGATACCAAATTTCACCTGATAACCGCCACGAGTACGTCACCTCAATTGTTGCTTCTAGTTAATTTATAATTTTTAAATAATTAAATGTTAAAATAAACCAAAATGTAAAAGCATTTTCGACGTACACGAAAAATCGGGTGAGAAATATAAGAATGGAACTGTATTCTTGATTACCTATAATCTAAAATTTACTCATGAATCTTCTTTGATATGAAAATTAATAAGGTGCATCTCATCCTATTATGCATCCAAGAGTGAAGATCAATTCTTACACTTATCAACGGAACCCAACCTTTTCAATGTATGCTTTAAAATTGAAAGTCAAAAATCTTTAAATAAATCCTAAGTTCATCACAATAAATTCTCTATTTTGGAGACTGAATGTTATAATTATATCATTTAAATATTCAATATAATTCATACATTGTAATTGTTTTTCCTAAATATCTGATTTCACTTCTTTTCATAGGTGCGAATAATAAAAAACCAGTTCTTTTTGTTAACAATAATTTCTACAAATTTATTCACATTTAGAGAATATTTCATTCTCAATCGCTACTTTCTTCATTTTAGAAGATTTATAAAAGAAAAAAATTCCCAAAATCTTCATTGTTTTTAGTTAATATAATGATAAAAAAAACCATTTATCACTTAATATAACATGTTCCATTTCATATTTTGTATATATTTTGACTGGTAAATTAATAGATTTTTGTAGCTATTGTTTAAGAAGATTGATTAAACTAACCAAATAGCCTTTCGACTAGTGATATGTGAGTCTTTGGACTCCTAGGATGTCAAAGGTTCATACCCTACTAAAGGTGATGAGGGTGTGTGAATTTATTTGTTCTTATAATAATATTATACACTTAAAAAAAGATTGATTAAACTAAACATCGAGATCCACATCCATGTTTAATCACTTCAACAAGCCTTACCCTCTTGTTAACAAGACACGCCTACTTAGTCTTGCAACAATGAATCTCTTAAAGTTGTTTGCTTAACCATTTTTAAAAGGTTACAATAAGTTCACAATTTTTCATAAGAGTGAGCAAGTCATACGATAAAGAGATGATGTTAAACACTTTATACCCCTACGGTTTGATGGCTATTGCTCATCGTTATTCGAGCGTGAGCCACAACTCACACATAAGCTGTCGGGTTTCATGACAGAAGAACACGCAACATAAAGATGCATACTCTTCCATGCGAAAGGTTCATCTTCATTAAAGCCTTTTGAGGTAATCTTGACCTACAACAAAAAAAATCAATTAAAACGGAGCCTTTATAGTCCATAATAATACCATCACCTGCTGTCATACTGTTCTTTGAAGAACCATCTGTGTTCAACTTCAAAATACCAACAACTCCTCTCAAACAAAGTAAAAAATAGATGTTAATGTTGTAAAGCATAAATTTGCTTCTACAATTTCTTAAAAAAAAGGTACAAAGGTGAAAGGAAGTTTTTATAAATTTAAAAAATCTTTTAAAATTAAAAAAAATTACTTTTTTGATCTTTACGAAGAAAAGACTCGAAACTTACGAGTAAAAGTTAAATGGTGGAAGAGAGAGAGAGAAAAAAAAAACTTTTTTATATAATTAAAAATTAAAAATAATATTATTTAATCTTATAACATAACATAAATAAAAGTATTTGATAATTTTTTGTTCTGTAAATTTAACTTTTTCTTTTTCATTTTAAATTTTTTTTAAAAAAAAATTCTTTTATCAAATGAAAAACTGTCATTTCAAAATACTTACTTATACAAGAGAGTAAAAATGATATTATATCTCCACTAATGCTAAAACCTTAACCATAAAGATGGTGTTTGATTGATTTAAACTTGGGTTTTAAAGATCAAAAGTGTCTGGAAGTATCATGTCAAATCAAAGGAGGAATAAAATCTCTTTATGATCACGAGGTTCAAATGCGATGACTTCAAGCTACTCGCAAAACAGATGGTCGTACTGTAATTAGTCGGTTAGCACAACAGGTTAATAAAAAAAATTGTTTAATTAATTTATTAAAAAATATAAAAAAAATATTGAATTAAAAACCAATCTTATCTAAAAATAAAATATTAATATGCTGATTTAATTTAATTATATAAATAATTAATATAATAAATACGTGTAGCAATATAAAAGCCAAGTACGGAAAAGATAGAGTACAACTAGGGGTACAGTGTGATTACAAATGTCACCGCCTTGTCATTTTAATATCCCCCCTCTGTCTTTCTCACAGACACCCTCCCTTCACTTTGCTATCTTCTTCCACTTTTTTTTCCCCAATTTGCTTAAAATCAATATTTCTTTTTCATTATTAATCCAAGTTTCGAGAGGGTAATAATAAAAACTCACCTACTTCGATAGCGATTAATTGAACCCCCAAATCACCTTTCATGGTCTGAGGAAGATTCGATTATCGAACAAAAAAGCTTTCTTTTCATCCAGGTATTCTTCTCTCTGATCACTTTTGATTCCATGGCTGTTTCGTAGATTTAGGTTTTCGTGGAAATTGTGCGAAACCTCATTTGATTTGGGGTTGGATTTTGAGGTTAGAAAGTGGGTGTGTCAGTGGAATTTGAGCTGTTTCGACTAATAGCAAGCTCTCAGCTGTCAATGGCGGTTGTGAAAACCCTAATTGGGTTTTCTGATTGATGGGCTTATGGAATCTTTTTGGTTTCTGTAGCTTATTTTGTTTGTTTTTGTTGTTAATTTGGTTTTAATCGGTTTCTATTTGGAGTTCTTAGGGTTAATCTGATGTGGGTTTTTTTGAAAATTTGTTTCCAGAAATGGAGACCATCGATGGGAACACGATAACAACTGAAACCCTAGGAGGGGTATTTTCGTCTTTTTCCCCAACTGATGATTCGCATAAAATCTTAAAACCCAGTTCGGAGGAAAAAGTCGGTGAAGATTTGCGGCCGGAAAATGAGGTTTTGTGTGATGAGACGACGGCGGGTGGCGGCGGAGGAGATGGTGGCGCTGCGGTGGTTGTTACAACGACTGTAATAGAAAAGACTCAGACTTCTGTTGTGATTCAAGAAGTTAAAGACGACGACGTTTTAGAGAATCAAGCAGAAGGATTTGAGATTCATGAGAATGAGAAAGAAGGGGTTTCTGGTAATTTGGTTGGTGGTGATGATGAGAATATGGTATTTGCAGATGCAAAGAGCTCGTTTTCCGGCGGTAATGGCGGCGAGATGAAGTCGGTTTCCGGGGTTAGTGATCCGACAGGAGTTGATAAACAAGAAAACGAAGCGGAAATCGTCGAATCCAGGGAAGATACGAGCAAGGACGATGAGGGAATTCATGTAAACGGTCAAGATTCCGTCAGGGAATTAGCGGAGAATGAAGGCGATTATGATGGTGAACGGGATGAACCCGTAGAAGAAGAAGAAGATCACGATTTCGTCGTGGGTGATTTCATTTGGGGTAAAATCAAGAGTCATCCATGGTGGCCCGGTCAGATTTACGACCCTTCGGATGCGTCGGATTATGCCGCTACTTTGAAACGTAAAGGTCATCTCTTGGTAGCGTATTTTGGGGACGGGTCGTTTTCTTGGTGCTCACCATCTCAATTAAAACCGTTCATCGACTGCTTTGACGAAATGTCGAAGCAGAGTGACTCCAAGAAGTTTGTGAATGCGGTTCAGAAGGCTTTAGAAGCGGTTGGTACACTCGTGGAGGCGGAAATGATGTGTAAATGTCGACCAGTTGATCAGGATGGTGACGGGTTTGTGGCCGTGAACAGCGGGATCAAGGCGGGAGTTGGTATGCCGAAAGGGAACACGATCAAGATTTTGATCGATGGAATGAATCCGGTGGAGCTTTTTTCGACTTTGAAAGCTTCTGCAACAATGGAGCCAGGTGTAAAAATGGCTGAGCTTGAACTCACTGTTTTGAAAAGCTGCCTGACTGCTTTTTATCGATGGAAATGCGGTCAATCATTGCCAGAATATCACGATCTGAAGTATATCGAAGGTCTTGAAGACGGGGAGAGAAGCGGGTTCGTTTCGGATTCCGATATCAACGGCCCGTCAGAAAGTGGTGACGGAAAGTTGCATCAAAAACGGAAGCAGAAAAGTGTGGCGGAGCTTTTGGGAGAAGGCGGTGAAGACGAACGTAAAATCAAGAAAGTGAAAACGAGCGGTGGAGGTTCTGGTTCACGATCGTTGAAGAGGGAGCGGAAACGGAAGGCGTTGGTGGTGTCGGTTTCGCCGGAAAGCGATTTCGACAGCGGTGGAATTGAAGAAGAAACAATGTCGCCACGCCAACGGAAGAAAAGCAAGTATCTTTCGCCACCGTATACAAGTCCAATCTGGACCGGAAAACATTCAGGTTCGTTTAGAGAGCTGAAAACGGAATCCGAGAAGGTTCCAGAAATGGCGGCTAAACATCTAGAAGATTCTTTGAAAAGGAGCAGCAGCAGCAGTGGGAGGAAATCTCGATCTCATCACCACCGAGGAGGTCCGCGAGACGGGTGCGAACGAGATTCGAAAGACGACCAGAAGACGATAATTGATTCTGCTGTGAACGTGAACAAGGTGTTGGAAGGTCTGTTACGTGCGGCCCTCGATCCATCGAGTTTCGTGAAGAAGAAGAAGCTTCCGGAAGTTTCTGAGTTTGTTTCGGCCTTCCGGAGCTCGGTTTTTGAAGACGGGTCGAACGAGAAGGAACCCATGTCGGACCTCGAGTTTATCGAGCGGAAACTGGAGTCGATTCGGGAAATGGTGAAGGGATGTGAAGAAGGGGAAATGAGTGAAGCAATGAAGGGAAATTTGGAAGAAGGGATCGAAGAGGTTCTTGAGAAGGTTTGGAAAATGAAATGAAATGAAATGAAATGAAGTGAATTTGTTTGGTTTGGTAGTAAAATTAGGTTTTGGAGGTTAGAAATTTCAAGGATGGAAATAGATTATATATTTTGCCTTTTTTCTTTCTTGTTATCTTTGGATTCGAGTCTTATATTTGTGTTGTGACTTTGTTTCTTCACACCTGCTTATTTTTACAGAGCGTGCGTTTGGTATGCAGGACAGTATACGAAATGACATAACGAACACTTGTTGTCGTGCACTGGCATCGGGTATAAAATGGAGGACGGTATGTGAAAATGAGATTATATAAAGACAAAAGAACTTACTGTCTCGTGTTTAGCGTAACATTTAAGCAGTCCCTAGATATGATTGGTATTGGTATTGGTATTGGTATTGGTATGTAAAAAAATGACAGACCAGAAACTTGTCTTGTTTTTAGTGTAACATATAAAACGGCACTCGACATAATGCTTAATGTAATATGCATTCAAGACAAACTTGGTAAATTGCTGAAATATTATGTCAATATGAAGTATTAAAACATTCCATACTTGTTTATCTACCAAAGACATCCTTGATCGTAGTCCAGTACATGGGGTGAAATACCAACCATCCCATGAGATTTTTAAATCTCATGTTTATGGGATTTCATTTTAACCGAATGCGGATTCTATTCCCACCAAATGCTGCAAACGAGACGGGGCTAGAGGTTTTGTAGGATATCCATATTCATCGACCATTGCACGAAACACAAGGCCAAATAACATTTATCGTTTTTAAAACAAACACACAATAACTATATAGGCGAAAAGGGTCATAAAAGAAGGGAAAAAGGACTCGGAAGATATATCCAAATCTTTGATGAAAAATATAAAACATACACAGGTAAATATATGAACAAACATTCAGTCATCTACGGGATCTTGGGGAGTTTCGTCTGCGCTGCGTTTGATTGTTACAACGGGGCATTCACAATGCTTCACACAAAATTCGCTCACCGTTCCTACAAAAACCCTGTTCAAGAAAGAATACAAGTGTCATGGTCCAAATCCATGTTATAGGTCAGGTAAATTAACCAAACCAAATGAACTCCGTACGTGTAAGATGGTGGGGTCTAGGAGGGGCAGGATGTAGGCAGACCTGATTCTTACCCTCAAAGAGTAGAGTGACTATTTCCATGAATACCCTTGGCTAGATAATAATTGTAGATCATTCCAATATGAATTTTTTAAAGCGGTGACACCATTTGACCATATGGGTGAAAACTATAGAAATTAGCGGTTTGTATTTGCAAATGTCTCGAGTTCGGTGGTTCATTTAGGTATGTAAGCTTAAATGATATTTTAATTAAATCCATGACCTCCTGGCATATTAAATAAAAAATGGCTTCATACTCATCAAAAGATGAATGATGGAATATGCTTAGAATATATATATATATATACACACACTGGGGAGCGATCAAATGAAAACCACTCAATTTGTAAAAACCGTAAAAACCTCATTCCACCAATCATAATTTTTCATTTTGTTCATTTTTTTGTAATTATGAGAGGTTGATTAATCATTTTTATTGTGGAGGATGTTAATCWTGGATATTATCATCTTCAWTATTTTAATTTTAGAGAAATACATRRAACARTTTMATTAAAATTTCATTAARTAKTATATGAAACAATTTCATAACCATATATGAAACAAMTTCATCAAAAAAARKWWTTATATGAAACAATTTCACAAGATTAAACAATTTCATGAAAAAATTTCATAAGATTAAACAATGAAATCGACGGATGAGGGTGGTTTGCACGGTTTTTACAAATTGTAGTGGTTTTCATTTGATCGCTCCCCTACACACACACACATATATATATAGATAGATAGACATATAAATAGAAGAGAGATCTTTTATAAACCCAACCATTAATACAAACCATAAAAACCAATTAATTGAGAGTTTATTTATTATGATTTGAATATTTATGGAAGATTATCAGAGTTCATTTATTATGATCAACGCTTTATATTAGGAAATAATCGAGGTATACATTGAATCAAATATTGATTAGACTAGATGAAGGGTTGAGATTGTTTTGTATACTAATGGTTGGGTTTATAAATGAAACCACCTCTATGTATGTGTATACACTCACACACAGATTAGAAAATATACATACCTCTGGAAGGGACCAAGACCCCTGTTCCCAACAACAAGGAGGTCTGGTTGGACTCTTTTAACCTCATGGCAGATTACTTCTTTGGGATCACCCTTCTTAATCCATGCTTCACAAGCAACCTATGAGAATTTTAATTAGCACGGTGAGGAGAAACGACACATGGTCGAATAGTTTCGTTTAGCGGCATGAAAAGGGAAGGGTGAGTTAAACCCATGACCTCCAAGGTAACTACCATGCGGGAGATGTTTGAAAATATTTGGAACCCCATTAGATTACTCTCTAAAAAAGTCCTTGAGGAAATAAACGGAGTTCTAACATATATTGAAGAGAAAGTGTCCAAATTTAGCTGGTGTGGAACTCCAACACGCCACCTCCAACAGAGACTAGACAGGCAAAGATGTCCTAGATAGGCGGACAGTAAACCTTCTGTGATACCATGTACAAATGTGAGAATATGTGGAATTCCATTAGATTACAGTCCAAAAGAGTAACCGAGGAGAGATGCGGAGTTCCAACATAAATTGAAGAGAAACTGTCCAAATCTAGTAGATGTGGGACTCTAACAAGATGGACTCAAATACCACAAAGATGTGCCATGTGTGTGTCTGAGAGAATGTGTGTGTGTGAGAGAGAGAGAGAGAGAGAGAGACCCCTATTTCATGACTTCTGTTCACAAAGTACTCAAGAAGATGAGATCCATTAATCTTGTCCTTGCGATTGAGATCTCTAAAATCTTCCGGTGAGGCATATATACTATCAATATCATCAAAACCTAGCGCAATAAGAATGAAAACTCGTCAAATGCTATTGATTTTATCATCATATCTACACAAGAAGCAGTCATTGTCTCGGAAGTCAAAACCACATGCAAGGGAAGAGAGACTAGACAACTTTAAAATCATGTTTCACTTTATCATCATTTATAATTGATAGTAATATGAACTTCAGCCCTTTTTGTTTTCACATAATGCACAAGTATTTAAACAACTTCAAATCTCTGATTCGAACATCCTGTCAATGACTAGATACAGTTTTATGGCTGATACATTACATATATGTGTGAATAACCACCGGTACCAAAAGCGACATTCTTCATAACTAGTTTTATTCATTGTGAATAATGGAACCAAAATAAAACATGTATGAACTAGATTTAATCTTGGCATAAAAGAGGGGTATTCTTCATAAGAGGAGGTTTCCACCAACTTCTTATTTCTCTAAGCAACGAAATATCACAACCTATGCTGTTACAGCAGTCAAAATATGAAATTGTGGTCACGACTGTGATCTGATATAGTAGTTATCGCAATAGTATAGCATCCAAAAATAGAGGTTTATATATAATTTATATATATATATGTATGTATATATGTATATATATATATATGTATGTATATATATATATGTATGTATGTATATATATATATATATGTATGTATGTATGTATATGTATATATGTATGTATGTATGTATATTTTGGCAGTCAAAAGTCCATTTAGTAGTTATTGAAATTGCATATTAATATGTATGTTTCGACAGCTACATCCGTGCTCCTAACAATCCTAACAATTAAAAAGAAATAACTAGTGTCTCAAATGACTTAATAAAGTCAAAACAAGCTGAATTTCAGCTTCAAAATTGACATCGTTTCAAAATATTGTTGAGCAACTTCAAAACTGAGAAGTCGTGAACTTCGAAAATCTTAACCTAAACCTAAAAGAGCTTGATACTTAGCCAAAATTTTTGAGCCCAACACTTAAATAGCCCAGCTAAAGTACACAAGAAAAATCATGGATTTAGCACCGTTATTACAACTGAAATTGGTGGTCAAAATGTGGCAAATAGCACCACTGTTTTGCAAAGCTATTCTACGAGGACCGCAAACCACTATACCACCACTACAGCGGCACGATTAACAGCATAGAACAGAACTTGATCAAAGAAAAGTTTGAGCACTACTGCACATTGGCATTGACAACATTCAACAGTCGCAAATTAGATAAACTAACCCAATAAGCCTAAGAACCATCTATCATGTAGATTAACCAGCAAAAACTACATCTCACTCACCATATTCCTCATCAGATTCGAAATTAACACCTATATTAGATCGTATAATGCATAAACACAGCACAATTCATATAAAGAAGAGATCCGTAAGAAAGACACCAGACCATTACAATATTACTCCCTTTCAGAAACAGTAAAAGCAGCAAATCATATAAACCCTAAATTCATCACACAAATTCATAAAATCGAAACTTAATACATGTAGATCCAAATTAAACTAACAAATTACACAACGAAGAAACCTAAATCGATTAAAATTCGATTTCACAAACCCTAAAATCAGTTCGAAATCGAAAATAACAAGTAATTATGGAAAATAAGCACGAAAAACATATAAAGCGAAAAAGTATTACCGTCTTCATCAGGAACTTGGACATGGAGAAATAAGAGCTTAAAACCAGAGGTATTTGAACGAATGATTTTGTTCAAGGTCCATTCGAAAGCTGATTTGCTACTAATTGAAGCATGTGGATAACCTTTGATGCTTGACTCGTTCACTCCCATCATTATCCGAGTCACTTCCGAGTCAACTCGGATCGTCGCCATGGATGCTTGCTTGCTTCCTGCTTCTAAACTCGATGTTATGTTTTCTTTCTTGAGGAGGTCTCTGGTATGTCGCTGCCCGTGAACACATGTCGTGTCCCGGGACTTATGAATTATGAACACGTGTCGTAGAATGATTGGTGAAAATATAATATATTTTTTTCTAAAATAAAGAGTAAATTATGATTTTTGGTCGACTTATTTCTAATAATTTCGATTTTCATCCTCTTATTTTTAACATTGACATCCAAATCACTATACAAGCAGATTAATCACAGGGTGACCACATTTGTTACAAGTAGTCTGGACTCTGAAGTCATCGTATTTGAACCTTTGTGGCCACAAGAGAGTATCTTATTCCTTATTGGATTCGAACCTGGGACCTTCAAGCACTTTTGACATTTGGAGTCCATACTTAAACCAATCAGACTATGATTTCGATTTTCATCTTTGTAGTTTAAAAGTTATGATTTTTTATTTTTTTTGTTTGTAATTTATTACTATTTTTGTACCTAATGTAATTCGTATCTTTAAGTACAAGAGATCAAAATAGTGAAGTATTGTAAACCACAAAGTCCGAAACAAAAATGTAATATAGATCATAAGTATGAAAATAGCAATAAATTACAAATTATAGGGGCTAAAATTGTAACTTTTAAACCATAGGGACCAAAATAAAAAATTGTTAACTATAATTTAGGGACCGTTTACTAAACACTTATTTGGTAAGTGCTTACAAGATAAATTTTCTTATCGGATGAACATGAGAAGAGACAATAATCTTATCGGGTAAGAGCAATGAAAAATGATAGAGAGTCTTATCCGGTAAGTAAGGATGACGACTCTTATCTAGGTAAGCACTTACCCAGTAACTTGTTGTATTCTATATGTTTGGATGTACTAAAATCTTATGTATCAAAATAAATTATAATGTTGAATCATATTGGTAAGCACTTACCTGCTAAGCATTTGGGTAAACGGCCCCTTACTCAAATACAAAATTATACATATTCTTACAATTTTATGAAAAGGTTATATTTAAGAAAATATGGTAATGATAAAAATTATCGCTACTAAGGTTATGTCTTATTTGTTATTAAAAAAAAATCTCTTATTAGTCTTTTATATCTGATTTATTATGAGGTATGATTGTTCAAACTGTTTGTTTTTTTTGTAATTTTTTAGACATTTATGTTTTATTCTCATCTTATCTGATAAGAGGTAAACCAGCCTTTTTTTTTCTTCTAATTATTCTCCAAGCCCTCAGCAACGACATTTCTCCATCGATTAGCCCTAATTTCATTGTAAATAATTACCAAACAATTATATTTTATTTTACATTATATCACGATAGTCTTTTAATTATTCTGACCATTTGATCATGTAAAATTAAACCATTCAACAACTGTCCTAATAGTAAAACACTCTTTGAAAGAAAAAAGTACCGAGGAAAAAGAAGAAGAGACAGGGTCACGGAGAGTGGAATTGTACAAGTGTTATGAAAGCATTGTGTGGGACACTACGACATGCACATAAACATTCTACACTTTACCAATTTCTGTCCTTCCATCACCTCATATTTCATTTCCCCCCCTCCCTTTTTTTTTAACTCGATCCAAATATAACTCATTTGCATTATTGCATATTTTTAACCATGATGACCAAGTCAACTTTTACGTACATCGACTAATCATGGGACTGTAAAGATTAGAGAATAGCCAGAAAAATTCCTAGACAATACATGACTCGAACCGTTGATCTCTTAGGAGAATCCCCAAAAGAAGAGTCTTATTGTTAATTGAGCTAACCCAATGAGAGTTTATTGTACATTTTCTTTTGTTAATTAGGGGTCCAGATTACGCATACCTTGACTAATCCTCAGTAGCCTTGCAAGACTCGAACTGATGACCTACAAGGAGAATCCCCAAAAGCCAACCTTTATTGCCAATTGAGTTAACCCCACAAGGTTTTATTGTACAATTTTTTTAACATGAGAAAATGTGGAATCCCTTGAATTAATCTCTAAAAGGGTTTCTTATGACATAACGGAAGTTCCAATACATATATAAAGGAGAAATGATACAGGTCTAGCCGATGTTAGACTCTAACATGCTCCCTTCAATAGAAGCTGAACGGGCACAGATCATCCAGAACGTTGAGAGGGACTAGACAAATATAGATGTCTAAAAGTGTCAATTTCTAGAGTGGTACACTTTGATTATGATACATCATATGAAAATATGTAAAACTCATGATTAATCTTTAAAAGAGCAATTGAAGGGATAATAAAAGTTCGAGAAACGGTATCATGTATCCCACCACTAAAAAATGGTTTTTATACGTAATGTATCTGGTATACAGGATATGAGGAATAAAAGAAAAAAATGTTGTCTAATATTTGGTACAAAACTACGAATTAGGTTGGGACAGAACAAGACTGAACGAGACAACAATGCAGTTTTTTTTTTGTCTAACTATGGAGGAAAAATAGGAAGATTGGACAAGATAGTAAATCACTAAACTACCCCTGTCAAATTAAGAATCTTTACCATCAACCTTGCTTGCGAGTATAAATACATTCTAAAAATACGAGTTAATAATGAATGCATTGTTTAGTACCGAAACTGCCCTTGGTGGTGTTACTCAAGCGACTGAATTCCAGTGAAGGAGAGCCTGCCAAAACCCAAGTGATCGATTTTATACAACTCTAGCCAAACCTTCTCTGCCTCAAACCTTGCACTGTACTCTTCTTTTTCCTCTTCTTCCAAGTTTTGAGATTTCCTATTTACTCCCTTATCTTTTCTCGAAATTCCATTTCTGTCCTTGTCTGTATCGTCGTTTTTTAACTTCTTTCTCCTTTTCTTTTTATTATCCAAACCCAAACACTTTCTGCCCATCATCCATGGAAGCTTCAGGAAAGTGAGGGTGAAGAAGTTGACGACGGCGCATGGGCAGCAACACACCGCCACGCAGTCGGCGATCACCCCGCCGGTACATGATCGGCATGACTGGCCGGAGCAACCCACCTCGGAATCTCCTGGTGGTCTGGTTTCCTCCACCGGGTACCGGTGCTTTCTTCTGCTGATTCCGGTGGTGGTTGATGGAGGTTCACATGGGCAATTGTTTTCTTCCCTGCCCATCCGAATTCTTAAAGTTTGAGGTGGTGGCACGGTGGCGCCGGCGGCGTCTAATCAAACCTTACAAAGAGAACACACATTATTAGTTTTATTTCTCCAATTTTTCTCTGTGTGTAGATACTGCATTATAATTTATACCCACAAATCTCTCTCCCTCTCTCTCTCTAGAATTGAAAGATATATAGAAAGAGAGTTGTGTGCAGAGGAGGAGTAGAAAGCAGATGGTTTAATGGAAGTGGGTTTGTCTTGTTTTTCCACTTTTTTTCATATATATATATATATATATATATATGAACTTGTGATAGCCTTTGTTATTTTACCTACCATTTCACATAATTTTTTTTCATTTATAGTTTGGATTTAGTATATAATTAATATATATTTATTTTCAAATACGAACATTTATTATTTGTTTGTGAAACAAAAATGTAATTGAAATTTTTCATGTAACAAACCGAATATATATGAAACAAATGTGTGTTAATAAATATATTAAATTTTACAGTTAAATAGAAAAAATCATATAAAATAATCACTTATAATGATAGTTCTCAAATAACTAAATCCCTTTTATGTATGAGTGTTTATATTTATCTTCTTTTACAAACCCAATAATTCATGCAAACATATAAACCAATCTGAATGTGTAACATGTGAAAGTACAATGTTATTTTATATATAAAATATTTAAAACTGTCCATTTTCATAAACGAAACAATTATTAACGCTTCTAAAATAAAACAACACTTTATAAACACCGCTTTTCACAACTACCGTTTCATATATGAAATATAAAAAGTGGTTTATAGTGGTATTGAATATGTAAAATAATAGGAGTTTATTTTATATAGCTATATTTTGTGAGACTTTTTCCATGCAGTTGTGATTCTTGGATTTCTAAAGGGGGTTGGGGTTGGGGTTGTGAAGTCCATGTAATTAAATAATCTGGAAGTTAAAGGTATACCCCAGATGTTAGAGGGAGTACCATCAGCACGCACCTATACTTGCGTGATCCTCACGCTCTTTTTGTCGTTGCACAAATTTTATAAACTTAATGTTTTATGTATTATTTTTATGTTACAACAACCTAAATTTATATAAAATTAGAAAAACTATGGTTTTTGAAATAAATATGTTGAAAAATTACAGATGGCACAGACTTTCATGCCAGAAAAAGACGAAATGTGTATACATTTATTGTCCATTTCATGGCACAAATTTGTACGCATATATATGTTTTAAAAAACATAATACAATGAAATCGAAAAAAAAACTTGTACAATTTATTTATATCTTTTAAGATTTATTAATGAATAAAATATATAAGATTTTGAGAAAATCCAAGAAAAAAATGCTAATTTTTTATATGCCCAAGAAAACATGCTATTTTCTGAGCCAAAAATATGATATGTTGCGGTTTCTTATATGCATATAGGAAAGTATTTTCAAGATTTGGTCAAAAAATTTAAAAGATAATCAGCAAACTACATGTATTGAATATACTTTTCGTGTTATTAAGTTAATTAAATCATATAAAAAACATTTTTTAATCACCTTAAATTATTAGTAGAGTCTTATAAACATACAAAAAAGACATAAAATAATCCATTGACAAAAGTTAGATATTAAATTAAATAACGCATACGAACTAAAATAATATTTAGAAATAAAAGATTCATAATTTCTTTATCTTTTTGATTATACAAACGTTCTTTGGTTGTGTGGGTGAGGTGTAAAACAATCATTCAACTGGTTTTAAACGTACTATTGAATATAGATTCTTTTGAGAGATAGAGAGACTTGGAATCTAAAATTAATAGATAAAGATTAATGGATTCAAAAGTGAAATTACCCGAGGGTTAGGGTCATGTTTTCGTGAAACCCATTACACCATAAAATAATACTAAAATTTTACAGTAAAACGTTGTGAAGGTACAAAAAAATATCAAACCTTCACATTAAAACACCATGAATGTTTACTTTCACAATGTTTTGTTGTCAAAGTTCAGTGTTATTTATGTAGTTTAATAAGTCTTACGAAAACAATCTGTTCTCAGATTGTTACCAAGTCATACCGAAAGCAAGTTAATTGCCACATGCATGTTACTAGGAATCTTACAATCATGGGAGTTCTTTTTGGATAGTTTTTGGAAGTATATAACACAACTCACATACATTTCTCACATTTGATTAGATTCGAACACTAAATTTAGAAAAGTTGCGTTATTGGAATCGTTAGACCAATGGTCCTTTGGTTTTTGTTGATGAACGGTTAGATTACTGGTTTACGTTAGCCACTAGCAATGACAGACCCAAGATTTTTATTGAACTGATGCACCTTTAAGGTGGATCAAAGATTTTTTTTGAAGTTTTGGTTTATTTCGATGAACTTTTTTGGTTTTTGTGGATGATTTCGAGAGATTCTTTTGTTTCTTGGTTGATTTCGAGGGTTTTTTTTAGTTTTTTGGTTAATGTACCATATATTTTCTAATATCTCAGAGCCGTTCAAATTCTAGTGGATGCATCATTTACACAAAAAAAGTTATCATCAAAATCGGTTAAATAGGTGTAAGGGACCCAACCGAGCAACTCATAGGTTCGCCTCTAGCCACTAGTCCCATTTGACACTCACTTCTACTTTTTTGTAAACAAGGGATTGAATTGCATTGGGGTGAAATTGAGAGAAGGGGGTAAGAGAAATGACATATCAGACACAGCCAAATTAATAAAACTATTACCTGCAGTGGTATGTCGTGTTACAAACTCATCTCTTCATGTGTTCCATCTTATTTAAGGTTTACTAGCTATGACATGTGCTTTCCTCTACCCTTGTCCTTTCTACTTTATCTCTAAATCCTCTTTTGTTACTTGATTTGTCAAGGCATATTGGACTCCACTTCTGCTTTTCATGACTTTAGATTAGGGTAAGCCACCAAAGGTAGGTCACTTGTTTCATTTGTGGTTGCAGACCTAATTAACATGCTCTTGGAAATTCAATCTTCCCATGTTCTAGTTGTGTATTATTAAATTAAAGAATCTGTTTGGTACATTTGTCTTTGCTCTATGTAACAATTTGTTCAGAAAATGGGATCTTTGAGCCCTTTATAAGCTTTAAGTTGTAGGTTACCAATAACTTTCACCATTATTTTAAGTTAAATTCAAAGTTATCGGAACTTCATTGCTTTGTACAATGTAGGTGAAAATATGCCATGTTATCCTCCATTGGCCTTTTGCCAATCTATGTTTCAAACTAATCATATTTCTACCGTAAGGGTCCTTAAGGCCAACAATATCCCGATTAAAGGGAAGATCCTAACCTCTAGGTGCAACATGTATAGAGAAATGAATTAACATGAAAAAAAATACATGGAACTCACAAAATAAGTTTTTATGGAAATTATCATCATGAAGTTTTATGGAAGTACTTAGGGGCCGTTTATTAAACACTTATCAGGTAAGTATTTTTTGGGTAATTTTCCTCGGATGAATATGACAATGGTCAAGAATCTTACCCGGTAAGAACGATGATAAGGATGGAGAGTCTTACCCGATAAGTGAAGGTGACGACTCTTACCCAGGTAAGCGCTTACCAGGTAAATTGTTGTATATGATACGTTTTGATTTACTACAATTTTACCCAATAAAATAAAATTATAGTGTTGACTCCCAATGTTAAACACTTACCGGATAAATATTTAGGTAAACGACACCTTAGTTGAATGAAATGAAAATGATGTTGCAAACAAAAGTGGGTTTTTATGTTTCCTCTCCAATTATTATGATATTACATCATGGAAGAGGACCAATAGATTGACTAATTTAAAGCAAAAACCAGATTCAAAAAGCAATTGACATCCTTCCTCAATGTCGCCAACAGTTAGAAATATAAAAGGACCTTCAAACTTTTAGAGATAAATTAAAAGTGGAGCGAGTGTAAACGGACATTGTTCAAATCCTTTTTGAAATTGAAAACTTTCAGATTTCACGCATTCAGTCACGCTTTCGGTCAACCATTTAGTAACCGCTCAAAAAACGATCCTCGAAAAGGGCGGAAGATTTTTGACTTGAATTCATCTATGGAAAAACTTGAAGAAGTCATAGAGAAGACGGTCAAAACTCTCAACAAGCATTTAGAACATTTTCATCGTGTTTAACAAGTGGAAAAAAAAACAGAAATCCGTAAGAACCTTTCGTACTATCTCTGCATGTAGTAGTGATAGTGAATGATTGATGCACGGCTGATGAACTAAAACTCTAAAAAAGTGTGAACAATCAGAAGAATCTGACCTTAATTCTAACCGATAACAACATCTTGGCATTTAATCGAGAACCAAATCAACACAAAACGTCATTTTCTCACCACGTATATTCAAACACATCTAGAATCGATAGTAATCATCATCATTTTATCAAGCAATTAAAGCAGAACAATTACGAATAAAAAGGTGCATAAACCAGACGATGACGATTATTCAAAAAAATAGCAGGTAAAAACAACAAATCGATAAAAAAAAAAAACTTTAAGCAAATTACCTCATGCGATCACCAATCCAAATCAAATCCGCCACAAATTAAGCGTCCGTCATTGGATAATCTTCAAATTACACCGCCTGTATCCTTCGTTCGAATGAATCTGACACTGGATTAACCACAAATAGACTAATTATCGCATTCCGAAGAGAGATGGATTACCAGTGATTCAATCTCTCCATAGAAATCGAGAGTTCAAACCAATGATGCTTTTGATTTGATGAAAGGGGCAAATATTATCAAAGTCACACATACATGAATCACTCTTTAACTGTGTGTGTCTGGGAGTTTGGGCGGTTTATGGAGGAGATGCAATGTATTTTTTTAATTACAATATTTAAATATTATGATTATATTTTATATAAATTAAATCATAATTTAAATATTTGAGTATTTTAAAATGGTGGAAAAAGTTGGGAGGGAAAAAAAAGGTGTGGACGGGGGATTTTAATATAAAGTTATTAATATAATTA